GAGGGGCGGGGGATGGGGACACGGGAGGGAAGGAGGCCAGGCACGAGGTGTGACGCACAGCCCTAGAGGGAGCTGGCGCAGGCTGTGCCCCGTCGGGGGCGGGGGAGCTGGCCCAGCCGTTAGTTACTGTGGGGTCTTTGGGGTGATATAAACTCCCAGGCACTTCCGACTCTGTGCGGGTGACAGTGTCAGGGAGGAGGGGGGCCGGCAGCCTAGGGGCAGCCCTCTGGCCAAGAAGGGCGAGTGACCTGGGTGCGTGCGTGACAGTGCAGGTGCCAGCAGGGCCTGGAAGACGAGGAGGGGCAGCATGCGGTGGCGAGTGAGGGTGGAGCCAGGAGGGAGGAGGGCCTGGTCACGGGGCGGGGGGCACATGGGCGGGGCCGTGGTCAGAGCGAAGGCAGAGGGTTTTGAAGGCAGAGGGTTTTACCGAAGCTTCTGGAAGGCCCGGAGGCACGGCAAGCACGAGCAGCAGCAACAGGCTGGAGGAGACGGGCCAGGAAGGGGTCGGGGGGGGGCTCCAATCAGGGGGTCTGGGACGGAAGCTCAGGGACAGACTTCACCTTCTCCTGTTCCAGGTTATTTGTCATAATTGCTTTTGTTCTGTATTTAGTGTAACATATAGAAACCGTGAGGTAAGGTGGTCAGAAGCCAGTGCCCTGGACATAGCTCTAAAGGCCAAGACAGCAGGGGGCAGCGCACCCCGCATCCTAGGGAAACCACCCAAATAAACCCGGAGGCCCCAGGGAGCGTGCAGTGCTGGGCTGGGCCTGGGGACGCGTGCAGGGCTCCGAGAGTCTCCAGTCCGAGGAGTGGACCAGCTGCCACGGGCCATGTCCAACCCGAGTCTCCTTGGACTCTGGTTGAGGATGGAGAAGGGACCACAGGTGGCAGCTCTGACTCCGCCTGAAGTTCTATAAAGGTGACCACAAAGAGATGTTCTGAAAAAGGATGGATGAACCCCAAAGGGCAAAAGATAAAAAGAAAACAGTCACAAGATTTTAATTTCTTTTTTTTTTTTTTTTCCTGTGCCACGCAGCATGCGGGATCTTAGTTCCCTGACCAGGGGATAGAGCCCCCTGCAGTGGAAGTGCGGAGTCTTAACCACTGGACCGCCAGGAAAGCCCAAAACAGCCACAGGATTTTAGAGAAAGCATGTGGACGAGCAGTAACGGACTCAGCAGACATGAAAAAGCTGAACTATGAGCCAGCAGGGAGGGTCAAGATGCAGCGTATGTGTGACACAGAATCCCCGAAGGCTCAGAAATCGACAGCAGCAGAGGCAGCACGCGTCTGGGAGGACCCCCGCCCGCACGGAAGAGCCGCCCTGTCCCCGGCGCACGCGCGCGGTCAGCTGCGGACCTGGTGCGTGGGGACGACTGACCACGACGTCGGAAAGACCACCTGCACGTGGGTCACACAGAGAAAAGGGAACTTGAGGGGAAAAGGAGGCCGGCCCGGGAGGTCCAGCCCCAAGGAACGGGAGTCCAGAGGAGACGGCGACAAGGTCAGCCAGGGGGAAGCTGCCACACCCGGGGACAAGGAGGACAGCCGGCCCCTCGTGGGAACTCCCTGAGCAGCAGCAGAAGCGGGAAAACCCCCGACGCCAGCGAACGCCCAGGCGAGCCACAGCAAGGGAGCTGCAGCGAGGGCGCCGCAGCGAGGGCGCCGGAGCCCAGCAGCGAACGCCCAGGCGAGCCGCGGCGAGGGCGCCACAGCCCAGCGGCCGGCGCACCGCAGGGACCAGGCGTCACCCAGCACTACAGGGTGAACAAGACAAATGCAAGCTGGATTTAAATGCTCTGCTTAAGTACGTTGTACCACGTATTTAAGGAGAGGCAGGTGGCCACTCCTTCCACCACAGCCGACTCCAAACGGACAGACGAGGGACTTCAGAACGAGCACCAAGACGACCAAAGCAGGAACGCCGATGTTTGATTTTACATCCTTGACATTTCCTAGGCGGAGCTTAGGAAAAACCACACACTAACAGAATGATTCTAGAAAACCACATTAACTTTCCATCTTGGGAGGAATTCCTGTAACGAAAGCAAATCCTAACATAGGCCCTAGTATTTAGGAAAAATGCTCATATAACTGTAAAACCCCATGCTGTTCACAATCCAGGAAAACACCGATCAGTTGTTAGGGTTTTATTCTGTACAAAAACTATTAAAACTAATTAGCCTCGTTGGGTAACTGGCCTTCTCTCCTCTGAGGAGAAAGCGGCCCCCCGGAGGCTGACGCGACTCTGTCCTCACCTTCTCGCCCCTCTTCCCGGGGTGTGTTTACAAGCTCCACCCATGTGCTCACCGACCACCACGTCTGGGACCTCTCCCGTTTTTACTGGGATGGGGCTGTTACAAAGTGGGCACACTGGGACCTGAACATGCTAAAAATAACAAATATAAGACGATATTCCAGATTCAGACAATCAAACCTCACACAGACACACAAAGGCACAGTGGTACAGCACATTTAAAAGCAAACAGAGTACAAACACTGACATCTGTCCCCCACGAGAGGGGAGTGTGGTTAGCACAGGGGATCGGCAGCAAGGCATCCCTAGGGCTTGAAGACAGTTGCCTGAAGTGGAACCCAGGAGAACTGAAGAAACAGACTATTAACCACCCGCAGAAATGACCCTGAGACAGAGGTCAAGTGCAGCCCAGGAGGCAGCTGGTGAACCACTCCCGAAGGACAGGCGCAGGGCGGCAGGGCTACTACCTGTCCAGCACCGTGCAGGGAGCAGTGAAGCTGCCCAAACACCTCGAGGGTGGGGCTGCCAGGAAGAAGCACCAGCCGTGAGGAGCCTCAGCTCCTTCGCCTGCCAACGGCCTCCCTGATGCTCACTGTAGCTTCCGCCGCGGCCACGCAGGCAGACTAGCTCATCAGTCAAGGGCGCACGTGGTCAGGCTGAGCTCTCAGGCTCAGAACCACCATCCAAGCCCAGCACGGTTAAAATCCCTCTGGGCCAGGGCAGGAGCTGCGATAATTTAGCTCAAGAACACTGAGGTGACGTGTGGACGAGTAACAGGTAATCACAGAATCGCGATGCCAGCTGTCTGGGAACTGAGCTGGAAAGCCACCCAGGGGTGCTCCTGCAGCTGGCAAGTTGGCCAAGTTATGAAATAAAGCATCATTCAGTCACCTCTAGGCAGACTCTCCCTATCCAGGGACACAGGAAGGTCAAGGCAACAGACCAGGTAGTTTGGCCCGGTCATCGGTGCCGGGTGAACATGAGTCACCCTCCCCCGCCCCCATGAATCAGCAAAGGGCCAGACCCCAGCCGACACTGGTCAAAGGGTGCAGCACTGCCACCCTGGGGAAGCAGCAGAGTGCTGACTGAAGAGCTCACGAAAATGCTCCCTGAAGCACCCGAAACAAAGTGAGTTCAGGCTGGGACCACCTGAAAAGTCAATAACCACGGTCTTAAACCTCTGGACTTAGGCAAGTCTGTTTCCTTACAGCCATCCTCCAGCTTCCACCATGAACTGTCTGAATCACCCAGGGAGGATGCCAAGCCTGCTAAGTTACCCAGATAAGCAAGCATTTACAATTCTGCCCAGATTAGAGCCCCCATCAAGCGCTGTACTGCGTTTCTTGTGCCCCAAGAAGACAGAGCTGTTTTTCCTTGTGTGTTGAATAAAAGGAACTAAGTGTTTTAACATGTAAAGTAATCTCTGAAGGTTTAGGTACAACAATTTGATTCCAGGAAAATAATCTGTTGCTTTAGAGCTGTGCCATCCAGAGCTTCCTGCAATGATGGAAAAGCTCCAAATGTGCTCTGTCCACACACGGCTCCCGAAAACCTGAAACGTGGCTGGTGTCACTGAGAAACAGGAATTTTAAGATTTATTTAATTTTAATTAAGTTTTATCTACATGTGGCTAGTGTCCACTGTCTTGGGCAGTGCAGCTTTGGAGAGTGAGGATGAGAATCTTTAGAATGACGTATGGCCAATTACCTTCTTGAATGCAAAGGGACATTTATGTGCAGCATAGGTAAAATGATCTTTACAGAAATCTTGTTTACATGCATCACATTCTAACGGAAGAAAACCTAAAAAAAAAAAAAGAACAACAAACACACAAAAAACAGTAAAGTGTTTTAAAGACTAGAACAGAAGAATCATAGATCATATTAAACAGGTACTCACCTTTGCTGAGTTCATATTATGCCTATCAAATACACCCTCGAGGTACCACATGAGAAAAAAATTGGGGGCCATGAATTCGACAATGCCAGCAACACTGAAGAACCGGCATACCTATCCTTCCCAAAGAGACCCCACCTCACGTGGTACCACGTATTTAAGCAGAGCGTTTAAATCCACTCGGTGCTGGCAGCCAGCCTTGTACCTAGCTGTACAGAACCAAAAACTCAGGCCAGCATCTCATTACTGAAAAGCCGGAAAGGCCGAGGCCCAGAGAACAGCAGCTAATGGAGACAGTGGCCAGTACTTCTCCCAAATAGATGACAAGACACCCGTTTCCTGTTAACGTTCTCCTAGAAGTGCTTACCTAGCTGCGTGCAAGTTCTTTCTGAACAAGGCTTCCCCAAATCAGGGAACTCCATTATGAGAAAATGTCCAAAACACAGATGACAGAGTGAAATGTCACCTGCAAGAATTAGAAATAATTAGGAGGAAAGCAAGGATGGTCCGAATTTCAGTCACCAGGGTTTATATCGCACAGCTGATATAAGTAAACATGCAGGGAGCATTAAATGCCCAAGTCATCTGGGCTCCCGCAGGGGCCTAAGTCTCACAAATTCTTGTCTTTCAGCAAACAGAAAATGGGAGTTTTAGCATAAGTACAAGCTCCTTCAGAATCAAACCCCTTAGGAGACAGATTGTTTTTCAGTTCTTTTAATTCCTAGTTTATCAAGCTCAACCCGAATTTAAGTTTTCATTAATCCATATTCTGACCCATATTGACAGGGACATCCCATATTCAACTACACAGCTACTAGGGAAAGTTACAGCCTCGGTGAACTTTAAAACGCAATTTCATCTACTGAATATACTTGACAAACAAAACTCTGTTACCAGGTGCTAAGTCACGTTACTTAACTACACTATCCCGGGGACACTCGACTCGGTACCCTGTTGCTCTCTTTAACTCCCTTATGCATTGAGTTTTACTCAGAATTTATTCCTTAACGACAATCAACCTGGAGTTGACCAGGGGAAGGGGAAGTCGTTAACTCACCAGTGGAAAACAGGTGGACAAACGGTGATGCCACTGCACTTGAGAGAAAACTCAAGTCCACGGCACGCCTCACAGGGGCCCCTCCGTGATCTGGCACCCACCAAACCTCTCAAAACTCTTGTCCCTCCCAGAATTCACGTCCCCGGGGCCTTTTCCGGACCTGCCCATCAGCTCTCCCGCTGCCGGGAGCGTCCAGGGTGCCTGGGATACCCTGGCCACGGCTGACATCCGCTCATGCCCTCAGGGCCCGGTTTAGAGCGTCACTCGGGGCCTTTCCTAACACCCTCACCGGGCCCCACCCAAATCGCGTTTCCTCTACTCCGTAATTCCTTTCCCAGGACCCACTCGCTCGGCTTCCCACTGCAGCTTCGTTCCCTACTCTCGGCTCCGCGAAGCGCAGGGCCCAGGTCGGGTCTGCCCACCCTGCATCAGCAACACCCAGCGGACGTTCGGGAATCAATCGATCGAGGACCGGCGAGAAGCCGAACTCAATCCCGACGTGGTCGCGCTCTCGGCGCCGCAGCCGCGGTGTGAGAGCCCCGTTCTGCTACGACACTAACGCCCTGCCAGTCCGAGGTTCGCGGCCCCGTCCGACCCCCGCCCGGCACCCCCGGGCCGGCCCCGTACCTGGCCCTCGTCTGAGGCCTGGGCAGCCGCAGAGGGGAGCGGAAGGTGGCAGAGACCAAGAGCTGTCTCCCTGTCCGCGGTCAGCCGCGGGGGACAAGGCCAAAGGGACGAAGAAAACAGGATCCGAGCGACGGCCGAGGCCGGTCCCAGGCGGCGGGAGAGCCGAGCATCGCGCCGCCCGGACCTCCCGGCCATTTATTCGCACCCGCCGGGTCAGAGAGCCACCGCTCTCCGGGCGTCCCCGGCGCGCCCCCGACGACGTCTCCGCCGAGCCGACCAATCGCGCCCTCCGCGGCCAGACATTCCCGGCGCGCCCCTAGACGTCACCGCTAGGCCGACCAATCGCGCCTGCCGCGGTCCCGTCGGCCCGCCCACTCCGCGCCTCTTCTCGAACAGTCCGGCGGCTTCTCGGGCTGAGTCGTCCTGGTGAGGCAGCTCTGCGCAGGCGCCCCGGGCCGGCGTCCGGAGCGGGGCGCTGAGTCAGGGCGGGCTGGGCCGGGGTGCGGAGCGAGGATGCCCCGCGCTGGGCGCCACGGAGGCTGGGGGCGCGGGCGGCCGGTACCCGGCGCGAGGCTCCGCTGGAAGTGCGTCCAGCCGGCTCACGCACACAGGCACTGATTTTGCAGTTACAGATGAACTTTAGCGGGTGGGCAAGTTCACAGATGTGGAAACCACAGCCATGAAGGATCGACCGTGTGTGTGTGTGTGTGTGTGTGTGTGTGTACGTGTACGTGCGCATTTTCCTTACCCTTGTTCTGGACCACGTGAGAGCGTGGTGTGGACGTGACGCCCCATCACCTGCCCCCCCCGCCCCCAATACTCCCTACGTGACCACTCCAGCCACCCAGCACGGAAATCAGTGGTGACACTATGTTAAGGTCCGACCCGCAGACCCCATTTAGGTTTCTGCCAACCGTGTCGTCGATGTCTCTTTCCTCTGTGCTCCAGGAGCCCGTCACCAGTTACCCGTTCAGTGTCTTCCTGTCCCCGACAGTTTTTATTAAAGATCACAGACTTTCGTTCATATAACGTGACTCTCAGGCAGTGTACATCCACGTTTCCTCAGGAGCAGACTCGGGTCATACTTTCTTGGTGATTACATCACAGAAATGGTACTGCGCTCATCGCCGGCACAGGATTGCAACCCCTCCTAGCATGGGTGACGTTAATCTTGGGGGGACATCGTCATCCCATTGTTTGCTACGTTTCTCCACTTTTTCATTTGTGAATTAATTAGTATCTCGTAGGGAGAGATTCCGAGATTCCACCATTGTGTTACTCTTCATGAACCTCTGACAACCTTGACTCCGTCAGTCGCTTCTGCCTGGATCACTATGATCATTGCCAAACAGTGCTTTTAAAAATTTCCATCATTTCCTCTAAATTTATTAGTTGGCGTTCCGCTATAAGGGAATGATTTGCCTTCCCCATTTATTTTTTAACCCTGACTTTATAACCCGAAGAACCAGAATTCACACCCAGCATCAGGGAAGGTCAGGAGAAGGTGTGAGAGCGGACACCCCGGGGGTGTCACAGGCGAGCACTTAGCCCACCTCTGCTTTTCCTGATGCAGCCAAGACCACACCAAACTGTCGTGAGAGCAAGAGACCATCAGTCAGAATTTTTTTTTTTTTTTTTTTTTTTTGTGGTTCACGTGCCTCTCGCTGTTGTGGCCTCTCCCGTGCGGAGCACAGGCTCCGGACGTGCAGGCTCAGCGGCCATGGCTCACGGGCCCAGCCGCTCCGCGGCATGTGGGATCTTCCCGGACCGGGGCATGAACCCGTGTCCCCTGCATCGGCAGGCGGACTCTCAACCACTGCGCCACCAGGGAAGCCCCAGAATTTTTAAATGCAGTGTTTTTGTCATTAACTGAACATCTGCCTTCATACAAAGAGAGATGCCAAAAGCGTTGTTAGGTGACCACCATCCACCTAAGTAATTTACCACATCACGATAAAGGGGAGCAAGGACCTTGTACCACTGTGACCCGGGGGACGGGAGGGGAGGCGGACCTCGGAGCCTTAGTTAGCAAACCTCAGGAAGTTCTACTTGAGAGAAGAGGCCAGAGTGCGTGTCCAGACACGTGATTCTCTATCAAGAGACCACAATGCCCTTCACCAACGGCTCACTGTTGTGACCCCTGTTTTACCTGCGAGGAGACTGAGGCACAGAGGTGACAAGGGACACGCCCAAGAGGAGCCAGGATTCAGACCCCACCCCAAGTCCACATTCCTAACTCCCCTCTGCTACCTTCACCGGCCAGGGGTGGGGACGGAGACGCAGCCAGATGCCAGGTCACAGGACCCAGAGCGTCATGAAAAGATTCGGGGCTTTATTTTGAGTGCAAAGGGGTATTGCTGAAAAGCTTTAAGCATGACCTTGAGAGGTGGGCAGGAGACAATATGTATAAAGTACACATACTTTACACAGCTGAACGAAAAATAATTGCAACTTTCTCAGTTTTCTAAAATTGAGCTCCACTTTCCTTTGGAGCCCCAGACGCCTGCCGCCTGCAGACACGGGCCCTGTCCCATCACCGGTCTGTTCAGATCCGGTTCCTTTGGTGACCTCGGTCACTGTCCAGCTCAATCCGCAGTCATTTCAAGCCTTCTTCCTACAATCCCTCGTTCCGGCTCCTTCCGTGGCTCCTGGGCTCGGAGACGCGCATATAACCCCGTGGCAGTGAAGGGTGGAGGCTCTGGCCTCTGCAGGTGATGACCTGTCCACAGCCTTTGGTCAGGTGCTAGCACCTGCTGCCCGTGTCAGGACTTCCGTCGTGACCTCTGATCCCAAGCTCATCACGTGCACTGTCCTGACCCCCGGTTTCAGGTTCAGTGACCCTCTCCGCCCTCCACGCCAGGGCACGCGGGGCTGGGGAGCTCCTCTAGCTTGTGTGTGGGGACTGTGGCTCTGGGGCACCAGCTGAGGTCCTCTCCCTGCCTGGCTGCACCCCAGACATCATCCACTGCACTCTCCCTGTGCTGGCACAGAGAAGGTGTGTGCCTCTCCCAGAGGTACAGGTGGGAGCCCCACGCCCTCAGAGCGCCCCCTCCAAGCCCAGGTTGTTTATCATTGCAAGTCCCACATCTGAGGGCTGCAGGATGAGCCGGGGTCCATTCTCAGGGACCCAGGCAGCATGACAAGCTTGGCGTCCTCCCTTTCAAAGCCCGTCAGATCTCTCCCCAGCCCTGGAAGTAATGTTCTCCTTATGCTGCGGGGCATTTCTCTCACATCATCGCCTTGGGTTTCTTGCTCTTAGGGTGAATCTCACAAACTTTGGTTCATGGTTCCCTTTCCTCTCTCTTGAAAGCCTTGCTTCTAAGACTGAGGCTTGCTACGAGCTCTTAAAAGTTTAGGTTTAAAACTCAAATCTGAGCCACGACTTCTTTGGTCTAGATGGACCCTTCCGTGGAGCCATGAGTGTCACTGCAGGGCCTAGCCTTTTTTGTGTTTTTTAAAAATTATTTATTTATTTATTTGGTTGCACTGGGTCTTTAGTTGCGGCTCGCGGGCTCCTTAGTTGTGGCGTGCGACCTCTTAGTTGCAGCATGCATGTGGGATCTAGTTCCCTGACCAGGGATTGAACCCAAGCCCCCCGCATTGGGAGCGTGGAATGTTATCCACTGCACCACCAGGGAAGTCCCAGGGCCTAGTCTTGATGGAGAAGAGAAAACACATTGACGTTATACTGGCTGCACACACTGCACTGTAAAACGTGTTCATCCACGGTTTGTGGCA